GCTGGAAAACTGGTTAGCAGCTGCAAAAAAACTGAAACTAAGATCCATGTATATCACCTCATATACCAAGATTAACTCAAAATGGAATCAAGATCTTAATATCAGACCCAAACTCTTGAGTTGATACAAGAAAGAGTAGGAAATACATCTGGAATATATAGGTGAATAGGTAAGAACTTTCTCAATGGAAACCCCAGCAGCACAGCAACTAAGAGACAGCATAGATAAATGGGACTTCATAAAAAAAGCTTCTGCTCAAACAAGAAAATGGTCTCTAAAACTGAAAGAGACCACCCACAGAGTGGGAGAAAATATTTCCAGCATACAACATCAGACAAAGTACTGATAACAGAATATATAGGACTTTAAAAAACTAAATTCTCCCAAAATTAATGAACCAATAAAGAAATGGGCACGTGAACTAAACCAGAACTTTCTCAAAAGAAGAAATTCAAATGGCCAAAAAAACACACCGAAAAAATGCTCACCATCTCTAGCAATAAAGGCAATGCAAAATTAAAACCACACGAAGATTCCACCTCACCTGTAGAATAGCCATCATTAGCAACCACCACTAACAGGCGTTGGTGAGGATGCGGCGGGAAAAAGGAACCCTCTTACACTGCTGGTGGGAATGTAACTAGTACAACCACTCTGGAAAAAAAATTTGGAGGCTACTTAAAAATCTAAACACTGATCTACCATATGATCCAGCAATACCACTCTTGGGATATACCCAAAAGCGTGACACAGGTTATCCAGAGGCACTTGCCACCCAGTTTATTGCAGCACTATTCACAATAGCCAAGTTAGGAAACAGCCAAGATGCCCACACTGCGAATGATTTAAGAAATATGTTATGTTATACAAAATGGAATTTTATGCAGCCATGAAGAACGAAATGTTATCATTCGCTGGTTAAATGGATGGAATTCGGGGAACATCATTCTGAGTGAAGGTTAGCCTGCGCCCCATAGGCCCAAAATGTATTTTCTCCTTCATATGGACATTTGAGATGTCAAGGGCGTAAAAACACAACAAAGGGATTTGACTTTGACACATTGATAAAAGCGAGAGCCACACAGGGAAGTTATGAGAATACAGTAAACCACCTAAAAAACTAATAGCATTTGTTGTCCTCACCGCAGAGAACTAAAGCACATACTTTAAAGCAACTTGAGGAGCCAATCAGGAGAAGGGAACCAGGAACTAGAGAAAAGGTTAGATCAAGAAGAATTAACCTAGAAGGTAACACACACGCACAGGAAATTAATGTGAGTCAACTCCCTGTATAGCTATCCTTATCTCAACCAGCAAAGACCCTTGGTCCTTCCTATTATTGCTTATACTCCTTCTTCAACAAAATTAGAGATAAGGGCAAAATAGTTTCTGCCTGGAAGTGAGGGGGTGGGGGGGAGAGGGAGGGGGTGGGGGGAGAAAGGAAGAGGTGGGGGAAGGGGGGGAGAAATGAGCCAAACATTGTATGTACATATGAATAAAAAAAAAAAAAGACATGATAGAAGAAAAATAAATTTGAGGACCAGTTCAGCATGTCTAATATTCAAATGAGTTCCAAAAAAAAAAGACAGAAGGGAGAGAAAATCATCAATGAAGTTTTCAATAAACATTACAGAACCTGTTGGGTGCTCACTCCTGTATCCTAGCTACTTATGAGGTTGAGATTAGGACTAGTTCAAGACCAATCCAGGCAAACAATTCTCAAGACCCAATCCCCAAAATAACCAGAGCAAAATGGGGTGAAGCATGGCTTAATTGTAGAGTACCTGCTTTGCAAGTACATAACCCTCAGTTTAAACCTCAGAAAGAAAAAAAAAAATCACAGAACACCAAAACAAAAGAATTCACAGATCAGAAGAATACAAGTTTCTAATCTGAAAGGGGCCCATTAAATACCCAGCATGATGGACAAAACAAAAACTGAAAATAAAATGAAACAAAGCCTCAAAGTACACTATCGTGGTATTTCAGAATACCGAGAACTAGATGTGACTTTCACTAAGAAAAACGTGGGTCAGAAAAGATCATGAACTAGAACTAGAATGGCATTTCTCTTCAGCTACAAGAAGCCAAAGGCCCATGAAGCAATTCCCTCAAACTTCTGAAGTAAAATAATTTCTATTTGTAATCCTATACCAAACCAAGCAGTGTAAATGTAGAACAACATTTTCAGAAAAACAAGGTCTAGGAATATTTACTTCCCTTCCATTTTTCTCAGAAAGATCATGAAGATAAGCTGCACAAAATACAGTGACACAAGAAATAGGAAATGAGATATGCTACTATAGGCACTCTACAATAGCAAAGCAGTGAGTGAATCAGTCCAGAAGAGGGAGAAGAGTGAACCCCGAGTGAAGCTGTGCACTAGACCTGAAGGGTAAGAGTTTAGAGGTAGGCAAAGGACTCCAGAGGAGTTTTTCAAAAAAGGGTGAAATTAATAAACTACTTGATTAGTGAGTGATAATCATTTTAAAAACTAGGCAAATGAAAGAACAAAATAACAGTTGAAAAGAATCTAGAAAATGCAATCACTTCAGGGACCGCACTAAATGCATTTGAAATCTAGGCTGGACTTTTTTTTTTTTTTTGGATGGTACTGGGATTTGAACTCAGGGCAATGCATTTGCTAGGCAGGCTCTGTACTAGCTTGAACCAACACCCCTCCTTTTTTTTTTGTGCTGGAGATTAAACTCAGGGCTTTGCGAATGCTAGGCAAATGCTCTACCACTGAGCTGGATCTGCAGGGCTTTGACCACACTTTCGAGTAGCAAAGTTACTACATGGTTCAGCTATGAATGGAATGTATGATAATGTAAATTAATGAATAGTAATTAAAATATGAAATACATTATTAGGATGGGAAGATGGGTAGCATGCATGTATATGGTGGAGGAAAAGGAAGGAAGGAAAATGAAATCCTCTTCTTCAGATGGAGGTTAATGCCTGAAACTAAAACAAACCTAGCTGGCTCTTCAAATTATGTACAATTTTGGTAACAATAAAAGTCCTTAAAAAGTAGGCAAAGAAAATGAACAGACCTCATTGAAATTAATACAAATAGCATTTCAACATATAAATGCTTAACATTGCTCATTGGAAAATATTTTATTTTTCATCCACCTATTAGTAAACAAGAAAAGTTCTATTATGCACTAAATACAACAATGTGAAGAAAGAGCAATATTACACTGTTTCAGCAATAGTTCTGCAAACTTTTCTGACAACCCTTACTGTCCCATAACTAAAATGAGTTTAGATCCAGTCATCTTTCTGTGACAAATTTTTCAAGTTGCTGTCCCCAGTATGCATTCTCAACTACTTTGTTCTTAGACGCTTCTATCATCAGGAATTAAAAGCTGTGAATTAACTTTCCTGACCTCCCTTATAGCTAGACATGGGTACATGCCACACCTTTCAATAGTGAGACTTAAAAGTCAAAGTCTGCTTTGACTTTTTAAAGAAGTCTGCTTTTCAAGGGGGAAAGAAGGAATTAGCACAGCTATGAGTTCTTCCTGCCTTGAGCTCATCTCAATGTTCAGTGCTGTGTCAGCCCTTTTACAAGCCTGAGATGACAAACAAGAGTGCTAGAAACATGTCATGAATAGTGGAGTGGAAAGACACAAAGAGGGCATCACAAACAGCTGAACTAACACCTGTAACAACTTCCTTTGGATTTCACGTTACTCAAAAATAAAATCCTGCTGGGTGTCGGTGGCTCATGCCTGTAATCTTAACCACTCAGGAGGCAGAGATGAGGAGGATCAACGTTTGAAGCCAATCCTTGGCAAGTAGTTCCACAAGACCCCTTATCAAAAAAGTCATCACAAAAACAGGGCTGATGGAGTGGCTCAAGCAGCAGGGTGCATGCCTAGCAAGTGTGAGACCCTGAGTTCAAACCTTCGTGTCACCAAAATAAGTATTTTTCTGATGGTACTGGGGGTTGAACTCAGGGCCTTGTGCTTGCTAGGCAGGTGCACAAAATCCTTAAGCCCCTCATTGCTTTCTATTCCACAGCCATACACATTCCTATGTGATCTACTTCTCCAAAGGGGCAGCTCCGAATCATGTTTTATATTCTCCCCGCCCCCAGTATTTATAAGACAAATATATAAGCTGCTAAAATTATGATTATAAAATGTATAATACAGGCTTTGTCACAAAAATTATAATTTTTTTTTTTTTTAGCATTATTAGGGACCGAACCCAGGGTCTCCTGTTAGGCAGATGCTCTACCACTTCAGCACTCACCCAGCCTATACCCTCCCACCCCTCCACCTTTTTGAGACAGGTCTATGTTGCCCAGGATGGTCTTGAACTTCTGGGTTCAAGTGATGGTCCCATGTTGGCCTTGCAAGTAGCTAGACTACATGTGTATGTCACAGCACACAGTGAGAAAATTTTGATTTTTTTTTTTTACACACCAATGTATCATTTTCATATAGCCAGGGTGTGTAATGCTATTTAATGCTCTGCAATTCTGAGTTTGCTAATTTTGGATCATTTTGTCACAAGTAATAAAAAAATAAAAGGGGATTTACTGAACTATGTAAGTTAGCTCACAGAATTCAAGAAAGAGCTAAACCAGTCCTTAGGAAGAACAGGAATGGGGACAGCTCAAAATCACTACTTTTAGGGAAGTGCTTTGAAATGAATTCAAAAGGACATTCCCAATTTAGTTTCTCAAAGAAATGTACTTCAAGTTGGTAAAACATAGGTAATTTTTAGATTGCCAATGGAAACAATGTTTTTAAGCCTACAAAATAAACAAATTTAAAGCTTAAAATCCAGGAATTCCCGTATGATAAAAAATCTAGCAATTGAACAAGTTGATTGAAAGCATATGCTCTACAAACTCCCCCCAAGAGGACTGCCACTTTCTTCAGTTTTAGGCTTATACTGTCCAATCTTACACTACCTATTTGATTCTCATTAATAATCTCCTCTACTGGCATTAATTACTTCATAATCAAAAGATACAAAAGTCAGCTTAAAGTTTTTATTTCATTAACTTAAAAGGTGAACAAAATGTGTAGCTTGAATCTTATTGAAATAGGTGTTTACATAGAGGACAAACATACAGGATTTCAAGTAACTTATGGGACAGTTCATTGTCCATTAAAAAATACTCTTCTTTCTTCTTCAAGAACTTATTGAAAGACAAAAAAGATTCTTTTATACTGCATAAAAGCTAAATGCAAACTTCTGATGTAAATTTATTTCATTGTTAATTCCAATGATGAAGGTGAAGGTGGGAGGCACAAATGTTCACAGTACAGGTGAATGTGAATAAAAAGCTGTTTCCCTCAGATTCAAAGAAGCCTCCATTCATGTCCCTTATAGTAGGACCATGTATTTGATGCTCATCCCAGATCACTTCTTCTTCTTTCCTTTCCCTTTTTTACTTCCCTCTCCTTGCTGAAGACTTGGGTCACCACCTCCTGTTTTTTGTGTCCTTGTTTTTAGTTTAGGTATCATTTCTGCTGCATACAACATTACTGACTTACCTAGGAACCAGAAGTTAGGCTTAGTGTATAATCTGAGAAATAAGGCATAAAAAATCATTAACTTGAATATCAAGTCTAAGAAGCCATCACATTAAGAAAATGGGAAGTAATTAAAAAAAAAAGGACTCTGAAGACAGTGACTTGTTCATATGGGTGCCTCTGCTGGAGAAAATGTACTGTGAGCACATTAAATATTTTCAATGCTGAAAATATTTAAGTGAACAAATCATTGTAAAACACTAAGTTTAAAACAAAAATTCTAGTATTGGTCCTAATAACTGGCTGAAGACAATGAAGAACATGTAAATATTACTGGAAACAGAATCAGAATATCATTGTACCTTAAGCTACTGAAACACAGAAATCTCTCAGCTTTATTACCCAAATGTCATTAAACTTCACCGGAACTTACTCATATGTCCAGAAGATCTGCATATACACCTGTATGTGCTCTTCCCACCCACAACCAGCTACTTCCCTTACTCCAACATATCAAGTTCTTTGGCTTTACTCTTTTTTACTGTCTTACTAGTTTCTTTTTAGAAACAGAAAGTGACATCTTTTCAGCCACAATTTTTCCCTTTCTTTTTTAAATTAAGTTTTTTTTTCTGTATGTGTTTTTGGTCTTTTTAGATAGTACAGGAAAATGTCAAAGAGAAGGAGAAAAAAATCAGAACATTCTGTTACTCTTGAGTCAGAATCTTAAATTTCTGACAAAACCTATCAATTCTGAACAAGATTTGGTATATAAAAATAAATCTATCTGAATCTGACTAAAAGTAATTACACTGTCAGTTTGTCTAACACTGTAATTGTTGTAATTCAATTAAATGGAAGAGTTAAACTGAAGGAAAAAAACTAAGGGAACAGCTCCGTTTCTTAAAATTAAACTTTTTAGAAATAAAAAGACTCAGTAAAACAAATAACATATAAATATTTATCTTCTCAATATCTAAAACCAGCCTTTTTTTTTTTTTTTTTTAATCAGCACTGGGGTTTGAACTTAAGGCCTCATGTTTGCTATGCTCTACTATTTGAGCCCCTCCCCCCATCTGCTCTCAGAACTACCATTTTGTTATTTTTGTTGTTTTTCAAGAGATAAAATATTAGAGATGGTGGTACAGTCTTTTTTGACCATCAGATCCTTGAGTTCTTCACTCCCTACTTCTACTGCTCACTATTAGGTACCTACTGTCTTAAAAGTGGGTGTTTCCTTTCAGACTGAAAAGCTCCAATGGCTCATGCATATAATACTAGCTACTTGGAAGGCTGAGATCAGGAGGATGGCAGTTTGAGGCCAGCCCATGCAAAACAGTTCTTGAGACTCCATCTCCAAAATGACCAGAGCAAAATGGATTGGAGGTGTGGCTCAATCGGTAGAGTGCCTGCTTTGCAAGCAGGAAGCCCCGAGTTCAAAGTTCAGTCCCATCAAAAAAAAAAAAATTCTGTCAATAAACAATATTACATTTACATCTATCAATATATAGTAATATTTTATCTTTAAATTTACCTAAATAGTATCACACTGTGCATATTTCTTGCATTTTTCACTCAATATTGCTCTTAAGATTGAGAGAAATCATTATTAACAGAATTCAAGGATATCTAGGATATGAAATAACAATTAATATTCATCTGTTTAATAATGTATATTATTATACTTAATAATAATCTTAACCTGGGAGCAATGGTGGCTTTCCAGAGGTTTATAAAATATTCACAAAACGATTTCTTTTGAGAAAGAGTATTATTTCATCATGCTCTCAGAGATTCTTAACCTAAAAGAAATTAGAACCAGTGTTTACCTCTTTCTATCAGAAATAGTCCTTTCTTTAATTTGTAGAATGGAAATTCATTTATATTTATTAAAAGGTCAATTTCAGAACCTTTTTTTGTGCTGTAGAGGATTGTTCTAATCCTGATTCCTATGTATTCATTAAACAAAGCTTACGTGATGGGAACTGTACAAGACAAAGGCTGCCATCTTCCTGTTTGAGCTGGACTCGGACTCTGCCTCTGTACTGAACATCACGATTCCATTCTCTAGAGTACATTTTATTTTTCTAACATAAATAAAACAAAACAAAACAGGGTTTAAGAAAGCATTATACCAATGAGGTAAGTATAAAAATAGTGAAGAAAGCATCCCATCATACCTCAAGAAATACATTAAGTCCAACTGCTGAGCATACATCTTGAATTTCTGTAGCTGTAGGATTTTCAACAGCCTGAATAATTAAACACAAGAACACTAAATAGCTTAGCTTTAAGCCAACACTACACCGTTGCGTAAGTCATTTCAATTACTACAATCAAAACATATGCTAAACCCTAGGTTTTCTTTTTTTTACTAGGTATAGTTATTTCAACTATAATTTTTAAAAATTTCTAGGGATAACACTGATGCACACTTGTGTGTCCATCTTTCTTCTAACAGCATAAATTTCATGAGGAAAAGGACTTTTAAGTACATTCCCTAGCACCAAGCACAGTGTTTTGAACATAGTAGGTACTCAACAAACACTGACTGGTTAAACAATTACACATACAACCACTTTAGAAAACTAGCAGTACCTACTAAAGCTGAGCATATGATTCCCTACAGCCCTGCAATTCCATCCTAGGAAATGCAAAACTATGTTCACCAAAAGACAAGCTCAATAATAGTACTATTTATAATAGCCTCTAACTAGGAACAACCTAATTATCCATCAGCAGAAGAAAGGAAATGTGGTGTATTTGCAATGTAATATTATAGAGCAGTGGTTTTTAGTAGATTTCATATCCCATCCCAAGGCATTTGGTACAGGATGGAGATATTTTTGTTGGTACAGGATGGAGATATTTTTGTTTGGAGACAACTGGAAGAGAAGGGGAACTCAGACTAGGGATGATGCTAAACATTTAAAAATACACAGGAAAGCCTCCAATAAAAAATTATCTGCTCAAAATGTCAATGGGTGTTGTTGGGAAACTGTGGCTGGAGCAGTGAGAATTAAAGTACACTCAAAGGGCAGAGGGCATTCCTCAGTGGCAGAGCACATGCTTAGCATATGTGAGGTCATAGGTTCAATGTCAGCACTAAAACAAACAAAAAATTACCCTCAAAAACATGGAAAAATCTCATTAGCTTAAAGTGCAGAAGAAGAAAAAAAAACAGAAGTACATAGTGGCTGGGCATCAGTGGCTCATGTCTGTAATCCTAGCTACTTAGGAGGCTGAGATCAGGAGGATCTCAGTTTAAGGCCAGCCTAGGCAAATAGTTTGTAAAATTCCCATCTCCAAAGTAACCAGGGCAAAAAGGACTGAAGGCATGGCTTAAGCATTAGAGTGCCTGCTTTGCAAGTGTATAATCTTGAGTTCAAACCCCGGTCTCACAAACAAACAAAATTCCTGGTGCCAGTAATTCATCCTGTAATCCTAACTACTCAGGAAGCAGATATTAGGAGAACTGTCACTGGAAGCCAGCCTGGGCAAATAGATTGTGAGACCCTATCTCGGAAAAAAAAAATCATAAAAAAGGGCTGGTGGAGTGGCTCAAGGTGTAGGCCCTGAGTTCAAACCCTGGTACCCGTCCTTCTCCCACCACCAAAAAAAAGTACGTAATGCAAAAACAAGTCAAAGTAATCTGTAGTGTTGGAAACCAGGATAGTGGTTATCCTTGTTTGAGTGAGCATGTGGAGGGGACAGTGCAGCAAAACGAGAGCTATAAAGCTAATTTGTTGCTTAAGGTCAAGTTGCCTTAAAAATATCATTTGTTTATAAAATGTAAGTAACTTCTTAAAAAGAGTATGCCATTATTCTAAAAATTAAAAAGCTTCTACAAAATCTTTCACTTGGCATCATGTACTTTTCTAAACTTAAGCTACCAGATCAACCAAAAATTTGAATTTTCCTATCCAAAAAGCATAAAGGAGCACTCATCACTCATACCTTTTATTTTTTATTTAATTTTTTTTGGTAGTACCAGAGTTTGACCTCAGGGCTTTGTGCCACTTGAGCCATACCTCCAGCCCCCAAAACTGCATCTTATTTTTCCCCTCTCTTAGTGCTGGGAATTCAAAACCAGGGTTTCCCACATGCTAGGCAAGACCTTTACCACTGAGCCACACCCTAGCCTCTATACACTACTTTTAAAAAGTATTAAATTTATTCCTACCCCCTCCAAAAAAAGACAATGAAGATAAAAGTCCACAAGGCTTTATTTTCTGCAAGTCTTTATTCATACACTTTTTAAGAATCCAACTACATTCTGGCTATTGTATTGTAGAATGCCATAAATTTGATCTATTTTACTAAGGGGTAGATTGCCATACATTGATTAAGAAAAAAAAAGTGTAAGGGCCAGGTGTGGTCGTTCACACCTGTAGTCCCAGTTATTCAGGAGGTGGAGACAGGAAAAATGGAGATTTGAAGCCAACCAGGGCAAAATCATGAGACTTTATCTGAAAAATAAATGAAAAGCAAATGGACTGGGGGCATGGCTCAAGTGGTAGAGCTCAAGCTTGAGGACCTGAGTTCAATCCCCAGTACCACCAAAAACAAACAAAACAAGAAGTGTAATATGGACATCTCTGCCCCCTTACAAGTACTGGTTCATTAAGAACCATTTAAAAAATTCCCTTCAGTTATGCAATTCCTTTTTGGTTTCACCAATATTAAGGAAAGCACTCCAAATCTTGCTGCAGTTCTCCTTAGATTTCTTAAAGAAATGCAGTAAAGTACATGAGGCCGTTGTGGTCCTAACAGGACAACATCCCCGACTCCCTCAGAGGACTAGCAGCCACTGCTCACCTTACTTATAGGGATCCGCCTCCCCTCTGCGATGGTCTTCTTGTTATTTAAGTAAGCAGGATAGATACAAATAAACCTGCCACAGAAAAAGCATAGCTGTATGGCAAGGCCAGTATTTAAAAAATACATTTAATTATCATCATATTCATTGATGGTACTGCTGCAGTATTAGAAAAGCTTAATAGTTTTTCTTTAAATTACCACCCTTTACTTAACTCACTTAAAAAGGAAACTATTCACTATCTCTGATGGAAAAAGCATTGCTCGTTAGAAAAGAGTTAAACAACGAAAACAAAATAACGTGGCAAATGGTACCAGAGACACAGCTGCCTGTCAAAAGATCCTGAGCATGGAGCCCAACCGCGTATAGAAAAATACAAAGCACGGGGTTAGAGCTGTTAAAAACTACAGAAACCCAGTAAGCCTTTCTGAATGTAACAATAATTAACGTATTTCTAATTTTGTGATTGTTATTTAACATCATAGCACCCCAAATCCTCTGTGTCAGGTACAGGTAAACACTGGATCACTAGGGCCAGATTTTCAGGGGCGCGGAGAGGTGCTTGGTGCCGCAGGCTTCCGGGAGAAACCAGTTGCCGGGGCAGAGACCCCGAGCAGAGCTCAATGGGCAAGGCCATTCTTAAGGCCGTGGGACGGAGGAGGCCCAGCAGCCGTAGCACCGCAGCAAGTTCCTTCCTTTCTAGCTCAGGACCCACCTGTCTTGGTCGGCCGGGGACCGCGCGGCGGCACAAGCCATTTCCACGAAAGTCTACAGGGCAACAGCACAAGAAGGTGCGGCAGAGAACCAGACAGAAGTCGACTCAGAGTTCCTAGACATCCGCTCTTCCGGCGGAAGTCCTACCCACTAAGCGGCCCCGCGTCCGCAGATTTTCACCGTCCGTTTGTTTCGGCATCTGCAGCTCTGCGCCCGGGTCTGTAGCCTGACGTGGCCTGTAGCCTCTCCTCTCGCGAGAAGACCTCGACTCTGTCTTGCCTCCTTTCGCCGTTTCTGGCGCACGCGCCTTGGATTTACTTTAAAAATTCCCACCATCCTAGTTTCATACAGACACTGAAACTAGGTGCTATTTAGGCTTGCCCATAGACGAAGGCTGTACACTAAGTGGAGTCGATAGTTTGGAGCTAAGTACGGGTTAGAGCGGGCACGGGAATGCCTTTTTATATTTATCTTTTTTTTTTCCTTTAATTCTCTCCTGAGGAGGTCCGAAGCGTGCTTTCAGCTTGGCAACGCTGAATTTTTATAGTGGTGCAACTAGCAAAGCTGACATTGCGTCTCAGTGTACTGTGTAATTGTTAGAAACTTGACTGAACACCCTTTTAAACTTCTGAAGGGCACCTATCCTAAAACTGACCGTATTTTGCGTGTGTTAAAGGTGATGCCCCAGCGTTAAGGTGACATAAACTGGAGAAACAGGAGAAAAAGATGAGTGTTAACCGGAGCCTTCATAAGGAAATAAACAGAAGCCGAGTCAGTTACTTATATACTGAATCGTGTAACTAATAGTTGTGAAAAAGCAACTAAATTATTTGGAATGGCTTAAATGAATTATTTTAACATCTGTACAGAATTTTCTTGGTATCATTAGAGCCGTATAAGACATTGTCTTCTAGTGTAGGGAAGGTGTCTTCCACATGGGTTTCATCTTTTGCTTTATACACGAAGTTCGAGAGTCTTTTAGAATCTGCTTTTCTTCAAGGCTTTTTAGCTTAAACAGTCAGTATGCCAGAATAGTTTTCTTCTTCTCGTCCTCCTCCTCCTGCCCTTACCCTCCTACCCCCTTTCTTTCTTCTTGAATTTGAACTTCTGGTCAAGCCATCCCCTGACTTCAGCCTCCCAACCAGCTGGTACTACAGGATTGGGCCATAGGGCCAGTTCAGAATAGTGTATTTTTAGCCTCTTTAGCACTATTTCAACATTTTCATTCAACTAAACACACCACACTTAACGTTAGTAGTGGCTGTTTATTCCACATCTACAAAGGAACTTTTCAAAAAAAAAATTAGGCAAAATACTTTTACAGATGAGAAACAAACTAAAACCCAAACCCACCAAACAAAAATCTATCAAGAAACTTGAGTTGCAGTGAGATTGGATAATTTACCTGTTGCACTAATGACAGCTGAGCACAGATGCTCAGTTAGCCTGACAGGAAGCTCCTGACTTTTCTCCCTCATTTCTCTTCCTGCATCTCAGTCTTTCTTGCAGTTTCTTAGTACTGGATTGAGTATGGTCCTGATATAAATAACTCTGACTCCTTTTAAATTTTATTATTATTTTTTTATAAAATATGATCTTGCCATGTAGCCCATACTGGCCTCAAACTCACAATCCTATTGCCACAGCCTTCTGAATGCTGGGATTACAGGCATGTACCACCACATCTGACTTTTATTTCCTTTAAAAGTGTCCACGATTCCTGGAAAAAGAGTATCATGCAATGACTGAAAATAAAAGGACTGTTTAGGGATGAAATGAATCTAAACTTTCAAATACTTTACCTATTTTAGGATATCAATAGCTATATATGAAAGAGTGGGAAATGACCAAGGTAGTCTGAGGCTTAATAATGTAGAAGCCTACTTACCATGGAGTTGTTTTCTTAGGGCCATGAAGTAACTTTAGACAATAAGGCCAGTATTAAAATTGGTGATTATTTTCTAGTTCATACACACTAAGGAAAGTAATAACGGAGTTGATATTATTGAGCACCATTCTCTGCTAGATCCATATTCTTGTCTAACTCTACATTACTGCTGAAATATTGCAGGAGAGAGAGGCTTGGTTTCTGGTAAGGTTTTTTTTTTTCTTGGTACTGGGGTTTGAACACATGGCCTCAGGCTTGCTAGGTAGGTACTCTACCACATGAATTGCTCCTCCAATCCAATTTCTGGCACTATTAAGTGAGAGAAAGGAAGTGACAGAGAGAGCAGCAGTAAGAGATAATTCGAGAACAGTTACTGAAGACTCAAGATTGAAGATCCAATATTTAAAGACAGCTACACTTATGCTAGTAAAATTTCTTAAACTGTTTTGCAATACTGAGGTTTGAACTCAGGGCCTCATGCCTGCTACCCCCAGTTTTACAAAATAAAAAATGAAAATTCTATAGACACGCAGGTAGGAAATAACAGTTATATATATAATGGAAAAATATAGACTGATATTCAGACTTCTTAGCAATAATAAATGATAAGAAACAGGAGTTCTAAAAAAAAGAGAAAAAAGAACTGAGACCAAAAAGTATGATCCAAATTATCCTTGGGTGAGGGCAATGTTAAACTGAGCAGAGATTTAGAAAGTATAACCTCAAGGGAGCTTTTCTGAAAAAATAACTATTACAGGAATTACTCCAGTCAAACCAAATTAAATTAACATAAAGAATTAAAGAAAACCAAGGGCATGTAATATAGAGAAAACAATGGTGAGTACTGAAATCTAACTTATAGTTAATAATTATTGATAATATGATGGTGAAGCTATGATAGTATTGATAATTTGATGAAAGATAATGAAAATTAAAAACAAGTGAATAAACCTAGTGTGGTGAAGTACACCTATAATCCTAGCACTCATCAATAGGAGGATAAAAAGTTCTAGGTCAGCATGGGCTATATAACAAGACCTTGTCTTAAAAAATCAAACCAACTAAATGAAAACCCCCCTGCTGGGCTCTGGTGGTGCACGTCTGTAATCCTAGCTACTCAGGAGGATCGTTGTTCAAAGCCAGCCTGGGCAAATAGTTCTTGAGACCCTATCTGGAAAAAACCCATCACAGAAAAGGGCTGATGGACAGGCCCAAGGTGTAGGCCCTGAGTTTGAATCCCAGTACAGCAAAGATAAAAAGACCCCCTCCCAGAACAAAAGCAAACCAAAAACCCTCAAGTGAATACATTAATGCAAGAACAGATTTTTTTTTTTTTTTACAGTGACCTAGGGTTCCAACTGAACACATCTGTTTCTGAAATTTGTTTAGCCATTATATTTCCAGGGCCTTCATTGGCCATGCTATCCCCACCCAGGACCTTGGACTCACCATTTTCGGACTCCTCTCTCCTCTTGGTCTCTACAATCTCTTCTCAGCCATTTATTCCTGTACTAGCCCAAGAATTCCAAATTCTTACCTCTCTTAAGCAACCCAATTAACTGTTCTCTAATTTCTCTCATCCAAATTCCAGGCTTATCTTTACAGATCCCAAACCCATCAAGGTCCTCGGCTAAAGAAAAGGACCTTCTGAAAAACCTTCTTTTAACAGTATTCATGGTTTTAAAAGAAGTTGTGGTTTTAGACAACTTTTTCTTTTGAATGGCCGAAGTCATTTGTTAAACATTGAGATTCTCACTGGTCCCATGGTTTTGTGAAAAAAAAAAAATTGACACAGGGTCTTGATACATGGCCCAGGGTTGGCCTTGTACTTTCAGTCCTCCTAGCCTTCTAAGTGCTAAGATTACAGATATGTACCACCACACCTAGCTCAATTTCTCTTTGTATAATTGTTCTCCTTCATTTATATAAAGCCTTGAGGGTTTCATAATTGATGTCCATCTTTGCATTTAATGCTTTTTCTCCAGAATTACACTTTGGCATAAATCTGCCATAACTGTTTTCTTTGCATTTGCCTGTGCAGGTATGGTTGTAGTTTAATTCTTTCTGGATCATTAAAGTGTCTTTGTTAGTAAAGGATCTTATTTTATTTAGTCTGACAGTAGTTATTTTATATTTGGTATTATTGCACCATTTTATGCTTTGTTGTGGCATTTCCCTCCTTCATTTCCACTGTTCTTTGATACCCTCCCATCCCCACCTGCCCCTGCCCAGAAGGACTGGAGGTTGAATTTCGGGCTTTGTGCTTGCTTGGCAGACCTTCTACCAAAACTTATTTTTGTAATTTTTTTTCCTGTCAGTACCAGGGTTTGAATTCAGGGCTTCACACTTGCTAGCAAAGCACTCTACTGCTTGAGCCACACAGTTATCTTGTTTAAGTATCATTAGTTACTTTAGTAATTTACAACCTAAAAGACAGAAAAACTTACTTTTTAACATTGTGATTACGACCAAATAAAAAATTGAACTTATATTGTTGGATTACTGGTGGCTCACACCTGTAATCTTAGCTACTTTGGTAGGCTGTGATCAGGAGGATCAAAACTCAAGGGCCAGCGTGACAAATAGTTCTTGTGATCCTGTCTCCAAAATTACTAGAGCAAAATGTACTGGAGGCATGACTCAAACAGTAGGTTGCCTACTTTGCAAGCATGAAGCCCTGAGGTTAAACCCCAGTTCCATCAAAAAAGAAAAACTTTTATTTAAGTTAAAAATAAAAGGCCTATCAGCACGACCTGATTCAAAATTCAGGATGTTTTAATTCTTCCCTGTCTTCTAATCCTTGTTTCCCAGTTTGGGTTTGGATAATTGTTAAGCATTTAATCTTTTCAGTTTTGACTTCTTTGGACATTCACATTGAGATTTATGATCAGATTAGCCAAATTATGTATTTATTCAACTTTAAAAGTTTTATTGCTCAGTAAGTTCCCAGTTATTTTAATTGCTGGTATATTGTGGTAATGTCATAGATTCTGGTTGGTCAGAGCTTTCGAAGTGCCCCGTAAAGATCTGGGTTATGAATCCCGCCTCCTCAGTTAAAAAAAAAAAAAACAAAACCCACCCACCAACAGACTTTTCCAGATTCCACAGGCATCTAACATAACCCTCTACCAATCACATGCACCCAAGCAAGACTTCAATTCAGAAGGAAGCAGTGTGAGGAAGCAAGTACCACAAGTATTTTACGGCAATGGTGTCAG